GAAAACAATATCGAGGTATGTTTATGAGTATTGGCCTTTGGTAATCTACACAATTGATTGTGAAGGGAACGATGGTAGTGTAGAGATAAAGGTCAAGGGTGACAATGATAATGTGATTGTTCTTCCTTGATGGTGATGGTGAAAGCTCTCGAGCTCTACTATGGCTAATATCTGTTGGTTCGAAGATGTGTATTCAAATTGAGTATATAGCAGAGAAAGAGGCAAGAGGAAATTTAGGACAATTTGTTGGAATTTATACGGTATGAGATTGTCATGGAATTCATAGAGTCGTTCGGGTTGATATTCATGATTCAAGTCGTGATGCTGAACAACTTTAGGTCAAGAACCATGACATTTTTCTTTATTATGCCCTCACCTGTCTGTCGTCACCTATCGAAACAAGCACCACAATGAGGAAGGGAGGGATGATGGCAGACAGGAACCATATTTCAAGTATTACTTGTTGAGTCACTGATATTTAGAAACAGATACCATAGGTGAAATACTCGGGAAAGTTCCTGTTATTCAGGAGCCTCTGATAATGCTGATTATATGCCAACTGACTGAAATAATAGAAAAGATAGGAGAGCCTTTCACCCGTCTCGTCCTTTGATGAGAATAATCATACATGAGAGCGCATCTTGCTTGAATTGCTGTGGCACTTCCATGATTTCTCATGTCCTCGGCCAATTCTATTCTCTCCTCTCCTCTCATCCTTGCTCATCACTTCACTTTACATTTGATTCCAGCTGAACCGCAACTCTACAGACAATGAGTCGACGATGGCAAGTGTGGAACGTATGAAAATTTGTATCGAGGCCCACATCATATTACTTCAATGTCATGTACCATCAACATTTGAGTGTTTATGCTACGATTAAGCCATGAACACCTCATAGTCAATGAATTGCTCTGCTCCTGCCTTGTATCCTGGTACCACTTTCTACACGATACAAGGTTATTAGATGGCAGGAGCTGAAATGAAGTAAATACTTCGCTACAATAAGAAATCACTAGTATAAAATTATGTTGCTTGATTGACTTCTGTGATCAAATCGGGCATTAAATTTCGAATGATTTATGTGAAAAAATCGAACCTACGAGAAGCTTTTGTCTACTTACCGAAAGAAAACACCCAAAGTTTAAAGGTCCGATGGACAGATCATTGGGAATACTTTCGCCTGATTCGTAATTCATGATATCATTAATGCAGAGATATCTTAGGGTTGCCCTAGCACTCGCTCAGTTATTCTCTTCGGCATACAGCTAATTGAGGTCAGCCAGTGAAATTAGGAATGACAACGGTTTGAGAACTTACTACATAGGATCAACCTCTTCGACACCAGGGAAACCTAGAAGAGACAGTCCAGCAACGCCGAAGCAGGTATGGAAAACATCAACCATGTCACCTGGTCTATCGGCAAAGCCACCTTCATCTGTGTCCTGACAATTCAGGATGAAATTGGTAAGTTGGACTCCATCAATCCAGTGTAGCCTCCCAATCATGGCGAGACTCGTCGCAACCCACCAGCTGTAACAGACATCTTCTTTTTTCTCGGGTCTGCCATTCAGTCCACCGCACTCTAGTTGCCTCTCACTCAGCCATCTACCCAGCTTATCGATGTTAACCACGTCTATGCGCCTCGCAATTGATAATGCACCCAGGCATGCAAATATTTGTCCAGAATGTGATTCAGCTCCAGGGCTAACACCATAACCTCCATCAAAATTCGCACACGAGATAATGTAGTCCACCGACTTGTTGACATCCACCAGATGTAGAGAATGCAGCAGCGAAAGTGCATTGAACGCTGCGTAGAGGAATCTAGTGTCTTCCTCGCCCCACTCATCCCCTGCAAAGGTTCCCGTATCCTTGTTTTGTAGGTCCGCAAGGTCTGCACATCGGGAGCATTAATGGTAGCCCCTCTCGAGTCGGATACATGAAGACACTCACATTTCGCAACTAACTCCTTTCCCTTACCATCCAAGTTCCGTTCGAGATCTTCTACTGCATCTACCATCACTAATGACTGCACGGCACTAACTGTGTACAGTAAATGTGCATCATGGCCTGGAGCAGCTCCAAAACCACCATTTCTGTGCTGGCAGCTTAAAATGAAATCAATTGTTTCCCGTCTCGGCAGCGCATCAGGTCGACCAAGTAAATGAAGTGCAGTGAGCCCCCAGTAGAGTCCGTTTATTCGCAAATGTTCGGTGTGCCAATATTCGAGCTCATCCTTGCGCTACAAGCAGGAGATGTCAACAAGTGCGGGTGGAGATACGAGGAGGGTGAATACCTACGGAGTCGAGACTCTGTATATATTTTACATGGGACTCGATAGCGAGCTGAAGCTCCTCTGGCAGAGTGGCAGAGCCTGCTCGACCCGGGCCAGATACGAGAGCCATGATTAAAAAGGTGTATTATTTTGCTGAAAGTGTTGAGTACTGTAACCTCGAGGAACAAGTCTACAAAGCTTAGAAAAATGACCCCACCTCGGGAACGTTGCTGACAAATCACCGTCGGACTTGGTCTTGACATATTTATTTCGGAACTTGTAATCTTACAAACTATTGAAGCAATTGAACAGGATGCGTTCATTTCCAAGGCTCACGTTTTGAATATACAATGTTGATAATTGATTTGTTAAATATGTCCATGGTACAGTAACTCTTTTTTCTAAGATCTTTAACTCCTGCTTGATCTGCTTCTATGGAATCCTGCCAACTGACACGCCCCATCCATCTAACCATCAAATTTGCCCACAATTTCAAAGCCAATGCAGACACATTCGTTAAAGGGCATTTCATTCCCTTTGGAAGCTGTTCCACGTCTCCTAACGACCTTCGTCGGTTGCAAATGGATCTGAAATCTATCCAACAATCTGGTTGACCAATTCGTCCTTAGAACTTAGGTTAAGTATAAAACGTTGTTACCAGAAACCCCATTGCTTTGACCCTGGCCACATCTTATCTCTGGAGTGAACTTAACTCTCATGACGAGGGTCAGTCGAAATTGTCCTTTTAGCGTCACATCCACTGCTCTGGAAATGAGTCCATCACCGTATCCTGCGTTAATACCCCTAGGTGTCTTCACACAACATGGAAGAATGATGATGCTGTCGGCATATAAAGTCGGTCGATATCAGGGCGATTGGGTGGTGATTTGATTGAACGTTGTCGGCAAGTGCCCGAACATTGGCAGGCGTATAATTAGCTTTGCACTCGAAAGTGGCTTCAATCCATGGGTTATGAGAAGATATGTCTTGATGTCCAATCGTCTTACCCTCGTGCGAAGTTTATCCCAAGTATTCGCTTTTTCTTAGTTTAGCCTTTGCAGTTGTTGGACGCTATTTGGAGTCCCATCCGCATGCATTGTCCGATGTGGAAAGGCTGGTTTTTTGTGGACGGGTTTGCACAAGAGCCGTGGAATGTTTGTACATTTTGTGATCAAATGATGGTACTTGTGTGAACAGATGGGAGTAGCCTCGACGAGACTGCGTTCGAATACGTAGAGTCTTTACGACCTAGCGCAGTGGCCAAATTTGAAGTCAACAAATCCGTAGACATCTTTTCTTGATGCGTGAAGTATTCCTCCGAACAGATCCGATACATTTTCGAGATTGTGTAAACCACAAGTAGGTATGGAAAATGGGCTGCCGTAGATCTCCTTATTTCTATTCCAGTGAATGTGTTAGATGAAGATTAGGGGTTAAAAATCACATTTCATTTCTTGATACAGTAGCCAACTCCGAAGTTCGAGCATATGCTACACATTGATGAGATATCGCACAAATGCTACCTAAATCGCTGCTACAATATATGGTTCAGTTATAGAACTGGAATGTTCAGATGAGTACTACTGAACCTCAATTACGGAGCAGAAACGAGTGAAATTCCTGTCTCACTTTTCGACACTTACAATTTATCTATATCAAATTTATGATGTGAATTGCTAAGAAGATTGATAGCTTTTTCGTCGATATATCTTCAACTCTGGCTTGCATCCTCAGAGAAAGGACAAGCTGAAACATTGCATGTACCTCAAAGTTTATAAGGGAACTATACTTCAGAGTGGTTCGGAGGAGTTGGGAAAAGATTGGGATGAATATCATTCCCGTAAAATTTGCAAGATCCTAACATCAAGCTCCCCGCTAGAATCGTTCCGGATAGCATTGTCATCAGCCATCGAGTAAATCATATTCGTTTGATGATAGATGATTGTCCGAGTTCCGCTGGTGCATGCTTATCTACAGTTGAAGTACTTTTGCCTTGAATTCTCTAGAATTTCACTAGCTTTAAGACTCATAGAGTGAAAGACGGTGATATACGCTCCGGAAATTCTCACTACATTATTTTTCTTAATCACTACAAATTAATTCTGTTGAAAGGCTATAACGCGCATTCGACGGGAGTACGAAATTCAGTAAATTATTTATGGCTAGTAAGTCAACCAATCTAGTCGGCGTGTTGTTAACAATCGCCCTTCCAAGTATAGGGTCAATGGTTAAGGTGTAGTTACGACAGTATTGTCAGCAAGAAGGCTGCTGTCAATGGGTCTGATGTACGTAAGCTTCGCTGCATGCTACGTTGGTCTAGGCGGAGACGGAAATCTAAGACCTTACTTATTCATGGAGTAGTAACACGTACCGTATTGCTGGGATTTTATCACGTCTCGCCTCAGTTTTTAAAGACTTGAAAAATACTAGTGTGATAGGCTCTTACATCATGCTGAGCCATACCTTGACCTATCTTAACTCCTCCTGAAAGATGCTTCGTGTAAGCTGACTGTGGGTTTCATTGGTTCTCGCAGTCATCCCACCAATCAACCCGGAACATAGAATTTACAATGCATTCTACTGCTTTGGATTAATTAAAGAAAATTCCCAATCCGAACAGCTAGTCTGTTGAGCTCTTGCATAAGTAGAGGGCAGAAGACTCAGCATGTCAGATTTGCAGCCAAATTGAGATTTTCAATCACCCTATTCCAAATATTTGCAATCATGGTCAATTCTAAACCTACAGTAGTTTTTATCCCAGGCTTCTGGCATACCCCAGAAGGATTTACACCTCTCGCTAAACTTCTGGACAAGGAAGGCTATCCCCCCGTTCTAGTCAACTTACCCAGTGCAGGCGCTCACCCCGGGCATCCTGACTTCTCACAAGATGTCGCCGCAATTTGCAAGATCGTTACCGAACTATCCAATGAGGGTAAGGAAGTCTTAGTAGTGATGCACTCCGGTGAGAGTGTTAGCGGCAGCGAAGCTACCCGCAACTTAGGTAAAAAGGAACGACAAGCCGATAGAAAGAACGGCGGGATAGTCAGGGTCATTTATATTGGCATTCTGTTACCCAAGGCAGGAAAGACTATGTTTGAGACATTTCAAGGCGTGGTTTCGAGTTCGGATATAGATCCCAATTTTGTGGTTGATCAGGATCAGAGCTTTCATGTCTTTGCTGAGGTATGTTTTGATATGTCTTCAAAGACAATACTAACGTCCCGGCTGGGATGGCACTTCAACTATCACCGACGGCGACACGAGATTTTACAATGATCTTTCTGCAGAAAATGCAAAAAGTTGGGCCAGCAAATTGACCTCGCTTTCGTTAGGGTAAGTGAAATGGCAGAATGTGAGGAGTGCTCTCACTGACGTACTATTTAGAGTTGGGATGTCTCCATTGACCTACGAAGCTTGGAAATACATACCTTCAGCGTATATTATGCCACTGCTAGACAAAAGCATTCCGTTAAAGCAAGTTCGACAGATTGTAAAGGAAGCGAATATTGACATGGCGTTTTAAATAGAGACAGGTCATTGTCCATATCTTGTACAGCCAGAGGCAGTAGCTGGTTTTATTGGAAAGGCAGGAGGCGAGATCATTTGATTACTACTAGAAGGCGTAGAACATTTACCCTCTGTTAACCAAATACAACTCGCCCTTCTTTTATGATACAAAATTTATAATCTTCGGAGCTAGCCCACGCTCCTTCCCCTTTGTCTATTACCAAATCACTTCCTGAGACAATCCCCACAGTGTGGATTCTGCCTTTTTACACGACCGCAGAGCAAGCCTATCCAGCAAACTATGCGTCAGCGCAATTCCCAGGCTGCTAGGTACTGCGTGGCTGACTACTGACGGTGAATAGCAAGCAAGGAAATCGAGTGCACGACCTCTGTACAGGCCAGAACACAGTTCCGGAGTATCATTGGGTGCGAATGGCTTTTCTGGTTCAATCCTCAGGGATATCTTGCAAGGAATTGTAGGTCTAGGTTCGCGAGGTGGATTGGCGCCGCTTTTAAAGCAGGTCGATACTCTTAAAGCGGCTCTAAAACACGGGAATCGGGCGGTTTTGAAGTCCGAGCAGGACAACTAACGGCGGAAGAGCGGTTGTGGAAACATCAACAATTTAAATCAATATTGAAGAAGCTTGATAAGCATATAGGTAGGATTCAGTAGGTACTATTTCTTCAAGTCTATATATTCGACATTTCATGCTTCAATTGCGTTCATTACCAGCGGACCAATCTCTTACCCTGAACTTCATACATCTTTAATCATCATGCAGCCCGACGACAAATCATGCGCGACACCGCAGAGATTCTGGGACCTATACACTCCCAAACCACCAGTAATCGTTTCCGAGCCTGTTAAGGTGCCCCAAACCTCGACTTCGCGATTGGAACTGAGTGCTGTGCCCCTGCTTCCACCAACATCAACCGACCGAGGAGAGGCAAAGACCGTCCTCTATCTAGCCTATGGCTCCAATCTCTCTGCCGAGACCTTCAAGGGGAAACGCGGCATTAAACCCTTGAGCGCGGTCAATGTTCATGTCCCTGCAATAGATCTCACATTCGATTTATGCGGGATACCTTACACAGAACCTTGTTTCGCAAATTGTCAATATAAGAAAGGCCAATCAAGTTCTCCTCGGACAAGAGATTATCACAAGACAAGATGGCATAAGGGATTGGTTGGTGTAGTCTACGAAGTGACTCGTGAGGACTACAGGACTATAATAGCTACTGAAGGAGGTGGCGCATCATATGAAGAAGAAATTGTTGACTGTTTCGTTCTTCCCAAAGGTACCAAGACTGTGGACCCAAATCCTAGTAGCATACCATTTCGGGCGTACACTTTACTCTGTCCGTTCAACAGCAAAGACGCAAACCGCATTGTTCGCCCAGATCCAAACTATGCGCAACCATCTGCACGATACCTGAAGTTAGTAACAGATGGAGCTGAGGAGCATAATTTGCCCGAGGAATATGTCGACTACTTGCATGGCATCAGATCATATACAGTCACGACAATCAGACAGAAAACGGCACAGGTCATCATCATGACATTTGTATTGCCTGTTATTCTGGCGCTGTTTGGACTGGGGAAGATTTTTGCGGACAAGAATGGCAAGCTCCCGGATTGGCTAGCTACCGCAATGCGCACCTTTTTTAGATTCGTTTGGGCGGTGTATGATAGAATTCTGAAGGACAAATTTGGCGATGGAGAAAGGACAATAGAGAGGAATGGAGATGATATTGAAGAGATGGATTTAGATAAGAGGTGGGACGAGAAAAAAATGTCTCTTCTGTGAAATTAACAGTAGGAGACATTGGACGTCAATTTTGAGCAGTGTACATTTAATAGAGGTCTTTGTGTATATCGATTGCAGCATATACGGCGTATTATAGAGGCAATAGCAAGCGAACAGTCCTGCTTCTAATGTAATTTTGGTATCTTGACCGCTCAGAATTTCACATCGGCTGCTTTCGCTAAAACATGATAGTATTATTCAAACAAGCACGCAGTTTTCGATCAACATTATGTACTGTTCGTCCGGTGCTTTGTAATGGTATGCCTCCAATATTCTAACGAAGTGTAGAACAGGAACCAAGAAATCACATGCTGCCAAACTAAAATTTTAGGTGTGTTAGTCCCCTTGAAGCATTCGGAATTCGGGCGATGGCCAAAAAGGACAGAAAGGCAACGACAAACTCTATTTCTAACTCAGCAAAAGGAACCCTTACTTATCTAGACCTCTGTGTTGTTATCATCGAAAGAGACCAATTCCTCTTCTCCAATGAAGCATCTCAATTGCCCCCAGTCTTTCTGCCAACCACATTCACCAACATCATGCTTATACAAGCACCCTTCTGCACCTCCTGAGCCGCCTTTCCGTACAATTCTAAGACCTCTCTCGATCCTTCTCCTGCAACATTGACTAATTCTTTTATACCATCCATATGCATCAAGGTCCACGCATATATAATATCGGCCCCTGGTTCGAGTAGTTGGTCATCTAGAACTATTATTCCTCTTTCTTGAAAGATGGGGCCGAGTTGGCGTATCCACCTGTGGATGGTTAGGACACAATCCAGTAGGATACTGTTTAAAAGCGAGAAAGAAGACGGGGACCATACTCAAAACTGGAAAATTTCTTTAAAGGAACTTCATATATCCATCTTGTCAGCTCCTTGAGGTTGTTAGTTGATAAGTCCGGAGTAGCAGCTGTGCACCCCAACATGCTGAAATCGACTTCCTTCCACTGGATGTATCCACCTGGTTCTAAATATGACAGTATCAGTTCATTCCTCACATTCTAATTTTCATCGGGGAAGTAACGAACTTAGTAAGGTCAACACATTATCTAAAACATATCTTGGATCTCCGTCAGGGATTACGACACAGAGAAGACTTATGTGAACCACATCGTATTGACCTCTCAATCTCTCCGGAACAGGTTTGAAGATGTCCATAATATCTAGTTTGACATTTGGGGGGAGCAATGCTGAATTTGGATATTGACTAGTTGAGATATCGAAACCGTCTAATTGTGCGTTCGCCTTTGATTTTGCAAGCTCTTTTGCTAAATCTATGAGCCAGATTCTCCACCAACATTAACTTCGTACACATGAAATGCTCAACACACAAGAGCGCTTACCCTGTTCCACATGCTATGTCTGCAATTTTAATGTCTTCCCTAATTGGGATGCTTGGATGTAGAAGATGCCCAACGAGTCTTTGCCAGAGCCAATGTTGGACGTAGAGACTAAATCAGTCAGTGTGTGAGTGCAAAGTTGGAGTTTCAAGACTCAGATTTACCGGGAAGAACCCAGTGGACTTCGCTCGAGGACATACTCTTGTTCAGCGGCTGAAGTCATCCTATCGTTCTTTTTTTTTTTTGGTACTAGGAGGGTTCCAGCAAGTGAGAATCAACAGGCGAGAAAATGTGAGCTGAGCAATCTACTACCGGATTGAGCTGTCGATGAATGAACATTGATATTGATGACTGATCGTACTCATGTGACACCCGAGATAGGCAAGTGCTTGCTCCCGCACTGTAAGTCTCGAATGAACACAACACTCCGTATTAATTATGTGATACATTACAATGGGTAGCAAGTAGTGTAGTATCCAGTATAAAAGTTCAGACTTTTTTCGTTCGTATTTAGCACTCTAATTTTCAATTTTCAGTTCATGAATCTCGCTCTGAGAGCTTTGGATAAGTATTGGGAATGGCCACAGGGGGGCGGGCTATTGCAAAAAGAAGAAGATGGGGGTGGAAAGTCCTCGCCACACTTTTATTTATACGCCTCCACCAGCCACAGGTTAATAATATTCCATCCCAAATGCAACTCGTCGACAATCATATTCAGTTCTTGCCGTTTTCATTTCCAGATACTATATCTTCCTTCACTAGACAGCTTAGCTAGGGGGTCGTAAATAAATAACGGTTCTGGCGCATTCGGAATGCATTTCCCTTAATTTCAACGACCGAGCTAAAGTATCAACCGATCATTCACACTGCACATCGTTCTACTCAGAGTAACGACCATGGTTCGCAATCAGAGCTGTGTTTGAAACAATGAAATTATTTGCATTGTTCCATTGGGACGACACTTGCTGTCCCCAGCTACGCAGCCGTATGATTCCTATTCGCAGCAATCGCCGAATGAAAGGGGTTGGAAGGAACGTTTGCGATATTGTACCAGTTCTCGTAGCTATCAAGAAGAAGAACTGTCTCCCTGAGAGCGGATGAAGCTGCTAGCAACATCTCACAGAAAACAGCTTAGCTTTGGAGACATCGGAAAGATTCAAGAGGTTATGGTGCCTTTTGTGAGTGCAGCATGCCGTTATTCTAGTGGGTAGATTTCAACGGTCGATGGAGAGTTGAAGGATAGTTTGATTGCTTTTGGCTGTGACTTTGGACATATGTTTCTTTTTTGAGCATAGATGTCTTGCTCATCTCATGCATTCCTATGTTCTCAATTCCTCATTTATATACTCCAACTGACCACTCTTTACTACTGCTGCATGGCAACAGTTAACTGGTTCTTGAATACTCTATCTGGAGATCTTGGATGTTTCTTTTGCTCCTACTTCTATCACCTGGTTCTGCATTATCCACTTCTTGTTCTTCCGATCAGACTTCGACTGGGGCAACCATGATTTGATGCTTTGGGCGTTTAGCCCGTAATATGGCAAGTTATAGAACGTCACCATGTTGGTCAGTCATAACTTTTAGCTTTATTTCGCGCCGCAAGTCGCTCATATCTGAAAGTATTTCCCAACGTAGGCACATCAATCATCTGTTTTCTATGAGCGGCACAGGATACGTTTTCTGCATACGTCGTGGACATATAAGGATGTAAAGCGATGTATACTGCTTACGCCGTTTCTCCAGGGCACAAGTCCGGAAGTGGACAACGTATCTATTGGATTGGATTCGAACATTCCATATCGATTAGGTGAGGTAGAACGGACGGACGAAAGTTCTTACGGGAGATGGTTCTTCTCGACCTTTTCTGGGTCAAGATGACATCAAGACGAGGGCGGATAGATCATACTCGTACGATGTCACTTCCTGACCGCTGTTTGCATTAAAACCAAGGCACCCTCCAAACATACAATTGAACATGATACCTGCAACCTGAAGGCTCCTTCTCTACACGACTTTATGTGCATAACGCTCACATGATTTGCCATCTCCAAATCAAGAATGTTCCTCAGCGAATTCCGCTCTGCAGTGGATCTCCCCATCCTTGCTTTGACTTTCTTAGGATTTCATTCGACTGCCGCATCATCAAACTCTAAGTTTACATTTAGCGTGGGGGTCAGCAGATCTGTTGTGGGGTAGTCTGATGATCCCTGAGACCGAGGCTTTTTTCCATCTCTCTCAACCAAAAGTCATTCATTACCTTTCTTCAAACTGTGACGGTCATGTTCCATCCACTCTTATGAATTGCCCGCGTGCTCAACCGACGTGGGGGATTTTATTTGTATAGGGAAAGTGGCTCCCTAGACATCCATATTTGAGCTACAAATATTGCGAGTTTGTTGGATTATTGCTGGATTATAATTTGTTGAGATGCTTTCTGATCAGACCTTTCACTCTGGTATCTTTGTACGTAAGCGGTGAATAAGATCTGGGATATGGATAGTTCCAATTTCAGTCTATAGAAGCTAATTTTAGACTCACACTTACTCCTTCCATATTTAAAATGTTTTTCCTTCTATTTATTTCGTTTTCATCCCAAATTCTCCAGTCGAGCATTAGTTTGAAACCGTCCCTCTGATATCGTCCAATATCTCGAATTTTGAACACAATCTAAACAATGACTGCCTCACAATCCTATACGAATGGCAATGGCTTTGCAAGTGGGCATCGTACATTGGTGCCAGGAGTCTATGTTCCTACTGTTGCATTCTTCCATCCAGAATCTGAAGAAGTTGACACCTCATCAGTCGCTAAACACGCTTCCAGACTTGCCACTTCCGGAGTTGCAGGCCTTGTTGTTCATGGCTCAAATGGCGAAGCAGTCCACCTCGCACATTCCGAACGCTCGCTTATCACCTCGACTACACGCAAAGCTCTCGATGAAGCAGGTGCCTCATCTATGCCGGTTATCGTAGGCTGCGGTACCCAATCGGTTAAGGAAACAGTCGAACTGTGCAGAGAAGCTAAAGAATCAGGCGGAGACTATGCAATTATTCTTCCACCCAGTTATTACGCATCACTCTTGAACCCACAACTCATATTGGATTTCTTCACGCAAGTTGCGGATGCAAGTCCAATCCCCATTATCATATACAACTATCCTGCCGCACAAGGAGGGCTAGATCTTAGTTCCGATGTCATCCTTACCCTTTCTGCTCATTCAAATATTGTGGGTGTGAAACTCACATGTGGCAACACCGGAAAGTTAGCACGAATCGCCACGTCTGCCAAACCATCCTTCCTCACCGCTGGTGGTTCTGCAGATTTTATTTTGCAAACTATGGTAGTAGGAGGTGATGGAGTCATAGCTGGATTGGCAAACTTAGCACCAAAAGCTTGTGTGAAAGTCATGAGATTATTCAAAGAGGGAAAGCTAGAAGAGGCAAGAGAGCTGCAAGCAATTGTTGCAAGAGGAGATTGGGTTGCTATCAAGGGGGGTTTTGTTAGTGTAAAAGTTGCATTGGAGAGGTATTACGGATATGGTGGATTACCTAGGAAGCCATGTGCACTACCCGAGAAGAAAGCATTGGCAGCAATGAATGAAGAGTTTTCAGAATTGCTTGAGTTGGAGAAAACTCTTTAGTCTGACTGAGTTGAAGAAATGGAATAGAAAAATATTTTGTAAGCACTTTTATTTCAAACAGCTTGACATGTGAAAAAACAACATCTTGACTTGTCTAGCGACTTGGAGAGGAACAGAACATTAGAATGCAAAGCATAAACTGCCTTTTTCATATCATTTGAAAGTTTACTACAGAGTGTATCCTTATGTTCAGAATCCTTCTTACTTGCGAGCCTGTCGTCTTAAGAGGATCATAAGCACAATTCAAGTCACATACTCCCTAGAGGTTGGCATCCGAGTTACCTCCTGAATATTAGATTATCGTTCATTCAAATTGAGCACGCCACAATCATCCAAAGATCTATAGGATCCATGTTTCAATCTTACGCCACTTTTGTCTCGGTGCATTCGGAATATGGTAGTGTAGGGGTGTAAAGCCAGTCTTCCAATTACATGACTATATCGTTCGAATTATGGCGAGAATAAATAACTGAAGAACAGCTTTGTAAACCGAGTGGAAACTAGGTACGTAGTAGAATCTTGAGAAGACCATGGAGCGTCGTGGGTGTATTCGTTTGCAGCGGATGAAAGAGCTAGAGATGTGGCGAAATGGTGAGAGGTGGGTGACCTGCCTGACCACCAGAGTTTCTATCTTATTTCCCCTGTTGTCGTGAGAAGAGGGCTTATCATGACTCGTGCATTGTCTACAGGCTCGATGATTCGAGCTGTTAAAAATACAGTCAGAAAATATTCGATAGTCTAGAAGAAAAAATAAGATGGTGGCGTGGTGGTATTGCAGATGTGGGGTGCGGGGTATGTGTCAACTATATGTAATCTGGTAATGTGCCGGGATCCGCGATTAACGGCTAAGAAATTACTGTTGCATCTGAAAAGAATAAGTCTATACTCTTCTAAGCCTAATCATGTCTGCTAACGCGTCAATATCGGGAATGCGGACGATCCACTCTGTTGATTTTACCGATTATTACTTCCGAGGTCACCCTCGGTTAGGCGAGTTTATCGCTATCGGGAAGGAGAGGAAAATTGTTGGTGTTTCGGTTACTCTCATTGAATATAGTAGGTTCCAGGATGACCGTCTTGTTGGGATTTATGATGAGGATAACCATGCGTACTAAGCTACGTTGATTCTGAAGATACACTTCACTTCTTCTTCACCCCCACGCCCGTTTTGTTGACTTAAAGTGGGGGAGGTAATTGGGATATCTATCTCTGCTTGTTTATGTCACTGCATGCATTCTCGAGGTCTCCAAAGGAAGCGATATTTATCTTGGCACATAAGGACTTGGAGAGCTATTCGCCTGGTATCAGAGTGGATGTATCTTTTTAGCACTTATAAGCTTGTTTCGAATGTAGCTGAGTGGGTATAATAATGATATCGAGACGAGCTTCAGGAAAGAGGATAGCATCAGGGTTTCTCATGGATCTAGAGAGTGATTTCATGTGAGGAGTTGTATTTTAAACCTCTTTCTAGAATGTCATCGGCCAAAGAACTCATGATATCGAATCGGGCAGTTGCTGGGTCTAAAAGTTTATACTGGGGAAGCGGTAGAGGCATAGGTTCGGAAAGCACCGGATAGGAAACATTTGTTTTTCTCATATTCTTTTTGGATGTTTGAGAAAGACCCTTTCATATAGCTAGTCAAGTAATAATTTAATTTCATCTCTATATTCGAAAGATTTCTTGAAACATATGTCTGTTAAACATTGTCGAAACTTTCCTTGTAAGCGGAGAGCTATAAATATACAACAAGGCTCCCTCGTGGCTTTCTATTGAAAAAGCCTAATTAATGGTGCCTCTAGAGACTCATTTTAGAGTACTCATCAATGGCTCTCAAATTGATCTACTCATCTTTCACTCATCGAGTAGATTGATCGTCTTCATTCGTCTTTTATTATCACAGCAAATGTTTCTATCTTATTAACCAACATTCCAACCAACTGCTGTCTCACAATCAGGGAACTTAGTCTATGATTTGACCTCTTTGAGTGAGTATTGAGGCGTCCAGACTTTCGAGGTCTACAATCATTCGTACAGATTTTTACTAGGTATAAATTTCACTTGGCATGTAGATGTCATTCAACATACATAATACCTGGATCAATTCTTAACAATCAAAACTAGGCAAGATGAAGAAGACCAAATACATACAAGACAACTTTTTAGAAGACTCCATTTGATGTCTTCATTGGAAAGCTAGTCTAGTAGCATATAGCGGACGAAAGGACATGGCGCTGGTACAGAGTTCTAATGGCTATAGTATCCAAGTGTCGGGATTAACATAGGGAGTTCCAGAGGCGAAGTCAAATGATTTGAATCTGATTGGCAAGCAGAGAATCTCTTAAGGTTTAGGTAAATTCAATTGTATCGTTTGTTTCATTTCGGTTTTCATCGCCGCGTCTTCTCCTCGAGGGGTTTAGCGAGATCTACGAAACAATTCGAATGGTCATGATGCACGGGTTTTTGATGTTTCGCTGGAATGAGATTACACGGAAGTGTAGAATACGGATTTGTAGATAGTTGTTTGGTGGGAGGTTTCTGTAGATCTCGCTATGGGATAATTGATAGGGAATTGAAGGATGGAATTGAACGGGATGGTATGGCTGGTTGATCAGAGAGTAGGGGATAGAATATAGGATTATCAAATAGAATGAGATGGAAACCAAAAAAAGGCTCCAATAACTCGTGAATCAATCTCAAGTAACCATTCTTGAGACAATCAAATCCTTAAGTATCTATCTATTCTAGTCTCACATCCTGCAATATGAGATCAAATAGAAAACGGAAAAAAGAAACAGGAGGGAAGAGGAAAGAGAAAGGTCAAGAATTTTAGCCCGTTGGCATTTTGTATCATGTAATAACAAACTATTTCGATTATTTGTAAAAGGAGATAAAAGAGATCAGAGATAAGATTATCCTCTTTCATTCGTCCCTAATTTCTTCTTTATTTTTTCTCCTCTTCAGCTTCAGTCCTGACACCGTTGGACTTATGGTCATTTTTGACCCCAGGCGGAGATAGGTATTTGTCAAGGATGTACTGAGTTCAGATTCACATTCTCAAATCATAAGTCCCACAACGCGAATGAAAGATTCAAGTCATAATTGGAATTAGATTACATTAATTTTGTTCTCACACTTATTAGCTATCTCTCTATCTATTTCAGATGTAATCACAGGAATGACCATTGGTCAAATTGATGGAATGAAGATATATCTGATGACCAAAAGTTTAATTCATCTCCTTCCCTTCTTCTATCATTCTATTTCTTCCTTAAGCAATTGAAGGTAGCGAGAACTAAGGATCATGAGCTTTCAGAGCGAAATGTTGAGAAGAGTAGAAGCCAGAGTATCTTCCACCAAATCATGCTCAGTACTACCACCGCCATCCTCTTGATTACCGTATCCAGATTCCTACAAATCTTCTTCAGCATTAGAATTATAACCCTCCTAGTCAGAAGATTCGAGCATCGCATAATCATAATTGGATTCGCAGTCACAAACAAATTCCTCCTCCAGGTAAATGCAATGCTTATAATAGTAATCCGATATCGGGCAGCCCATTTCCTCGAAACCTGTGAGCTACACACGGGGAACCGTCCAATCAGGATTATGTAGAAGCTCTTCTTCTGGAAAAGCAACATCGCCAAAAACTGGACGTTCATCCCTTTCAATGAGAAATTCATCCCATATAGGCTTCCACCATTCCCACCTTGCCAATTTCCAATCTCTCTGTGGTTCTTCTGACGTCTCCTCTAGACCATTATACTCACGATATGCCGTAGCAGTATGAAGGCAGAAATCTTCAAAGTCAGTCTCGCTGCCATAGCTCGGAATTTTGTCGTCGCTATCATTACCATTATCTGCAACCGTGAGGTCACCATCGACATGTCCGCCTGGACTATCAAAGTGGCCTGAAATTTAGGCATTATCATCAATGTCGCTAAAAGCCTCAAAGAATTTCTCCTCATCCTCCTTCTCCACTTCCTCCTCTTTCTCCAACTCCTCATCTGTATCGAGATCTCCATAAATCTTAGTTCCATCACTGCTGACTCTATCCAGGACTTTGTCGTTCAAAACGAATATCCCATCCTCGTGAGCCTTGTTGTCTTGCAAATTCTTGATCGCTGATTTACGCAGAAGAAAAGTTATCAAGCGAAAATTTCCCAAATGCTGGACCAAATATCTGGTGAAAGATTCGAGCCAGGGGTTTGAATCCATGTGCAGGTTATCATAATTGAAAGCCAAGTGGATAATCCGCTTCTTGTCCTCTTCAGATGCCCTTTCGAAAGGATTCTTTCCATGAGTGATATCCCTTTTCGCATTGTTCAATCTATTGATATAAACAAGATCTTTCTCGGAATTGTAGTAAATAGGTCGTTTTAGGAAGGAGGAGAAGCAAGACTGATAGGATTTGAGTGCTATCTTTCGAGATATATGGGTGGTGTGTAAGAGAGCAGGGGGGCTTCCATTAGCATATTGGAACCCGGTCGAAAAGGCACACCGAAAAGTAAGACGGCCGTGGTAGTCTATGATTGGAAACTCATCATCGTCATATCGGTGAATCTTCGTTGCACAACCAGTTCCTATTTGGGTCATGATGTGTCTCCCATCGGATTTCGGAAGATTTGCTTCAAACTCGATGACTCGAGGTGGAATGGCAACGACGGCGATTCCCAGATCGAAAGCTTAACCTCGTCAGGGAGGGATGCGAATTTGGTGAAGTTTTTCACTTCTTCTATTGATCGGACGGCATGCATTGAGGGAATAGTAGTTTCTTGGCTTGACTTATCCATTGAGATTGGGAAATGCGTTTAATAGTTCTGCGCATGAAATAATCAAATATTTCTTCTATGAAAGATTATAAAAACAAGTATCAAATTATCTTTGAAATTTATCTAGATTGAAAAAGAAGAGGAAAGAAAATTAAAACATTGCGAAGTTTTCTCTCAAGTTGTAACAAAGTAAAAAGTCTTTTAGAGGAAGATCTCGTTCGTCATGAATGAGAGCTTAGCGGGCTAAAGCAAAGATCGACCACTACTTTCGCGAGATATTACCTTGGACTTCTCTCTCAACTCCTACTTGTCATCTAAATTCACGTTTGATGATGAAAGTAGGTACATTTATCAAGAGGAGAAGATAGAATGATTAATGAAGACTTAGATTTTCCAACTAGTTCCAAGTTAACCCCAGAATGGAGGAAGTCTAACTTGATACGATACAATCCAAAAATGTAGGATCTTTTATATACCTCATTTCAGGACATGTGTTCAAAACGTGATCTATGAATTTGTTGAACTTTTTACTAATACTTAAGATGCTATTTTAGCATGTGTGCATTACACATAGAGTCTGAAACTTAAAAATGTAAAGGATCTCCATGGATTATCGGAATGACAGAGAAGCTCGTTTGGGGGGGAGTAGAGGCTCCTACAATCATACGATTAAGCCTGAGCTTCGATGCTATAATGAGGTTGAACTATACCCAATCAGAAACCTTCAACTACTATTGATCAAAATTCTCAGGCTTGAATCACTTCACATGATCCAGTGCTCAATCTGATGTTCGATGTTGTGGACCACGTCCTGAAACTCTTTTCCTGCTACTTTTAGCTCATCGTACTAACATAGCATTTCAGGGCAAACTACCTTAAACCCAATCCATCGAGGAAGCCAGCAACACATCCAAAGACTAGATTAGATATGATAGTAATTGAGAGTATGGTAATTCGAAGACTTTACTAGTGTCTAATGGTCTTAGAGCAACAACGTACATCGACAAAATTGGAGTTGAGCATTTTCAATACAAAATCGAATATAACAACTATCACCTACATACCTTACCAAGACCGCCGGACCATCTCGCAAACACAAACAATAAATCCCAGACATTGAAAAATTCCATAGATTACTATTTTGACTCTAGAAGATCGAATACTTACTCCATCTCCCAAGTCCCCCAATTTGTTCCAGAACCATGCACATTCGATGTGCAGATCCGCGATAACTCCTCAAGAGAAAAGGAAACCATTCAAATCATCGATACACGTAACATCACATACATCACAGATGACCCTCATAAATCTCCCAGAAGAAGAAAAAGATATGTAAAATCTCGAATGAAAACCTTCGCACACACTCAGACTCCTATCTTATAAGCAGGCAAGCTATATCCATATTCGCCATTAACGTTAAGGTATCGTATCATATCCATATATTATCCTCCATTCCATACCCGTTGTATTTCCCCGTCCCATCCCCAAGAATTCATTAAAACGTAGCCTCCATCATGATGCTCATTCTCATACTCACAGGACCAACGTAACAAGACCTACCATCCCCATAATCCCCGCAACTCCAACTTCCACCCCCGGTCTTCCCACACCGCTATTCCTAGTCGCACTAGCCGTTGCACTTGCAGTCAGCGCAGAAGCACTATCACTCGCCACAACTGTTGTAACCGTAGCCACAATTTCACTGACCGTACTCGCCGCCCTCGTGCTAGCACTCCTCGTTGTTCCTGGAATAGTAGTCTCCGTAGTCTCTATCTGAATCTCCGTATTAACGACTTTGTTTCCTCCAATTGAAGTTGTGATTGTGGTCGAAACTGAAATCGTCTGCTGAGAAATACTTTGCGGAACGGTAGTCGCGGGAATCGTAGTAGCGGGAATGGTACTGGCAGGAAGCGTCGTCGTGTAAGTGACTGTAACTCCACCTAAAGCCGATGCGGGGATGGCGCTACCCACTCCACTAGCGGTGAATTGGGATGGCATGGGGAGAGTAGCAGTATTGGGCTTGGCAGCGCTGTTGCTACTGTAGATATTTCCTGTTGTTCCATCTTTATCTGTATAATCCCCCGAATCCAAATTGGCGGTAGCACCCGAAGAAGAACTGTATGATCCTCCTACTACAGTTCCATAGCTATCATCTGGAAGATAATAGTTGGTTGTGAATTGATCGTAACAAAAAGGAATGTTTAGGGAGTGCATGGTGAGACATGTTAAAGAAGATACGCAGCATAATGAAGCCGAGTCGCGTTCTTCGATACTATGCTCCGAGGCGGAAGAAAGCGATCGTTTGCTTGCAGGCAAAGAGGAGAGAACGATGTCTTGGAATAGATTCACGAAATCGGAATCGCCGATTTGTGGGGTAGTGGCAGTTGTCGCTCCGGCTGGAGAACAAAGGGTGTATCCTGATTGACACTCACCGCGAGACTTGAGTACGGATGCTGCCGCCAATGCTGCAGGCGCAATAAATGCGATCAGAAGTTGATGACGCATCTTGTTTGTATGTATGAGTCGTCGTATTAGTGGTGTATCAAATATATGATGTACAACCTAAGATTGGTATGTGTGTACTGGGTTTGAAACAGATATTAAATCAAATAATTGGAAGTCAAACTGAACCAACTTGATCGGAAAGCGAAGTGTTACCTGCAAACGACGTACAACTCTCGGTCAAATTCCACGATACAATCAATGAATGTAAAAGAGTGGGATAGATTGCAAATTACCAACGAGAACGATAACGAACGAGTGACGGTGAATTCTCCCGACGATACGCTTGAGCGAAAGAGAACAGAAACACAGAAGTATTCGATTCAAGGAAAGAAAAGGAAAGGAAAATTTTCCGTCAAAGAAAGCAAGGAGAGTAAAGTACTTGTTGCTGCTCGGGTTGGACAATACCGTGAACTCACTGAACCAGGTATGGCTAGTATGATAGTTGCATGATCGGGACACGAGACCCGTTCGGGATTCATAGGCCATAGATTCACTTGTGCCTTACAGAGGGAGGGCGGTCTTGCATTGTGCAGATAGATGGATTTTGTATGGGTGAGAGGAAAGAAATGGAAAAAGAAAGTCGAGATTTACCGTCACATTATCGAACGTTTCACTTGAGGCGGTTGGATGATGTTGATTTGCTTAGTCATGTGAGGTTAGCTCTTGTCGGCTTTTGTTAAGGTTTGCTTTTAAGTGGATTAATAATAATAAGGTTATCATTTTAAGGCTCTAACTTATAATTGTGAATTCAAAGCGCTTCGGTCGAAGCGCAATCATGATCAATCTAGACAGTTCTACGAGGAATGTTCGTTATCTGACCGTACCGCCACAGAACCGCCATCTGCTCGTCAAACAATTCCCTATCTGATATTGCTGCATCGGAGACCTCTTCAAGAGAATGGGGAAGTGATATCAAAATGTAAATGTTGGTAAGAAAAGGTCTCCGGAGTCCATTTTTAGCTTCGTGGATTTCTAACGGTTGCTATCTCCATTCCCCTACCCATTCAATCCAATATCAAAAGCTTACTCAATTGATCCCTCACATTTCGTGCTCCCATCAATCAAGAAAATAAAAGTACTGAAACAAGAAAGCGTGGGTATACATAAGTCTCATCTATTCTTTATAATCTTCGTTGCTCGTCACTTCTTTCTTTTCTTTATTCATCCACTGCCCCTCCGTATCTATATCCGTTTCCCCAACTCCCCTCACTCTTTCTCGCAATGCCACCACCACCAAACTCCCTTATCTCATTCAATCATTCCACGACAATAGGTAATATCCTCAGGCTAAATCCAATTACACCATAAGCTCCCCAGTCCGCTCCAATAAATCTTCTTTACTTGAATCTCCACTAGGGCTTATTCGTTTATTTCTGCCCCGAGAAAAACCATGAACTCCTCTTTGTGTTCCCGGTGCTTCCTGTGTCCGAGTTTTGCAAGTTTCCGATAATTGGAATTTGCGCGTCACCACCACCTCCTCTCAGTGGTTTGGCAATTCGGCTTCCGGCGCCACCGAAGCTAAATCCACCCGTAGGTGAGCCTAGTCCACGGGTACTGCCTGCCTTGGCAGCTTCGAGTCGTTCTTTTACCGCTGAAAGTTGGGCTTCGAATCTAAGGTCAATGTTAGTAATGCTATTGTTGTATAATGGAAAACAATCGGACAGAGAAGCGGAAGTAAAAAGGGAATCCGAACCTGTGACTGGCAGTAGTCAGTTTCTCTTGCGAATCTTGTAACAGACTCTCCAAACTCTGAATCCGTTCATTCCTTGCAATCAACTTCCTCTCAGCAATGGCAACTTCTTTCTTCAAGCTGCCGTTTTGTTCAACCAATTGCCTCTGAACATGAGTCAATTGTTCAAGATTTCTCTCCAAGAAAGCCATCTTCTTTTGTTGGGCTCTGTTGTTAGACGAACGGAGAACGTTGTTATATTGTTCGCGAGTCTCATCGAGGGAGATTTCTAGTTCGACAACACGTTCACAACGATTTTGCAAGTCCCGCATCAAACTCTTCTTCATCACGTCGAATTCGGCGATCTGTTGTTGAACAGTCTTGCCGCTAGCTGAGCCTGGTGCTGTACCATTGGATGAGCTGCCTGACTTGACTCTTTGTTGCAAGTCTTCATTCACAGCCTTGAACTTTTCAATCTCAGCCGACTTTTGAGCGACCTCTTTCTTGAGGTCTTCCACTAATTCGACCTTGATATCTTGATTGTTGGAGTATGCTTTCTCGAGACGCTTCTTGATCTCAGCAACATCCCCTTCGCCTAAGTTGCGTTCGAGAAGGTCTTCGTATTCTTGCTCGAGGACCTGAAGACGTTGCTCTAACTCTTCTCGGCGCTTTACATTGGCATCATTCGATGATGAACCAAACATTGAAAGTTCCGCCTGTCGAACAATGCCCTGAGTCTCGACTAGTTTCGCCTTCAATTCTTCAAACTCATCAGGGGGAATGGCTTCCCCGGCAGAACTTTGCTCATGTAGAGAGTCAATTTGATCAATGACCTTCTTGATGGTCGCTTCGTTCTCACTGAAAACATCTCCGCCGAGATCAAATCCAGCCATCATTTGTGCCATCTTTTCGGCCTTTCTCTTCTCCTTCTCATCCAAGGCAGCAGTCGATTCTTTGGCGCTCATTTTTACATTAAGCAATTGCTGTTTGAGTTCATCGAGCTCTGCGGTCAGTTCGGCGTTGGCTTCTTTCAAACTATCCATGGTAATTTGTGCCTCTTTACTCTCGAATGCTAATCGCTCAAGTTGCATCTTGAATTCGTTTGCTTCACTAGTAAGTTTCTCGTTATCCTTGTTGACCTTGGTGTCCCGCTCCTTTAGGTAAGTGAGTTCCTCTTTGGTATCTCGCAAGGTCTTTTCTGCAGCCGCAATTTGAGTTTCCTTTTCCGTTATCTGATCTTGAAGTTCATTTTCACGTCGTAAAAATTCTTCTCTCTCGTCCTTGTCTATTGGTATACCTGGAGTAGCGGACCTTTCTGTCACCGGTGTCTCTGCACGACTTTCTGTTGCGAGACGTGAAGGTGTAGATGGCCGGGGTGCCTGGGCTGCTGCTGCTTTTGTCCCACTAACGCCTGCGAGAGGGGGTGCCCATTGCTCCTTTGGTACAGATTCGCCCTTACGCCATAGTTGAACTTCTCCCTCAAGTGTAGAAACATAGGTTTCAAAGGTAGTGACTTGAGATTGAGCCTTCCTAAGTAAGGCTTTGAGTTCCGCTGGACTGAGCTCTGCATTGACCTTGGCCTTATTCTTGATTGCCTTTGCTCGCATACCAAATCTCAGAGTACTCAGGGTTTCCTCGGCATTGTAACTACTAGGCGAGCAGTTGATAATAAGTGTTGTCCTACTATTTCCTCCTAAACTCTCTTGTAAAATTCTGGTAAGTTTCGAGTCTCGATAAGGAATGTGCGATGATTTGCCGTCTGTCAGATTGTTGATAACCATACCAAGAGCACTCAAACTCTTGTTGATCTTCTTTGCCTCCTCCAAGGTCTGTCCACTAGCACCAGTCTTTCCGACCTTTTCACTACCAGCCAAATCGACCAAGAAAAGTTGACCGCTCTTTGCCGACCCGGTTTCAACGTTCTTTTGTGTGATCGTTATAACGAATATAGAATGTGATCGAGAAGACTCTGCGTTCATGTTGGTCGAAGCTACCACTCTTGCATCCCCTCCTCTTTTCAAAACTTCGTAGACTTCTTGAACACTTGAAACATAAACCTCCAATAAGCCTTTAACGTAAACACCTCTATTCTTTTCTTCGTGGATTGGCAGATTGTCGTTCTGTGGCTGTAGCAAATCTCTAATGCGTTCCATATAGATTTCCATGTAGCTGACTCTCACTGTATATTCGATCGTACCTGGACTGGACAGAATGCTGGCGAATATTTGCTCCACAATTCTGGGAATAACACCTCTGCCATCATCATTTTCAAGATTTGTTCCCATCATAGTATAAGACTTTCCCGCTCCTGTTTGACCATATGCAAAGACCGTTCCATTATAACCGTTAAGAATATCGTCCACAGTGGGCTTGATAGAGAAGTCGAAAATATCTTTCTGCCGTGAGCTCATGCCAAAGACACGATCGAATGTGAAAGAACCAGCCGCTCCATTTGACTATCTCTGAGATTAGTAAAGTACAGTATCTTCCAAGAGTGAGGTTCCACGAGACACATACATCAAGAGCGCAGGTATCATCAGCCTCGAATTTTACAACTGGTTGAGCACCCTGCTCATTCTCAATGCGATTCTGCGGCCTGAACCGACAGACAACCTTAATAGAGTTCGACATGATCGCGAGATGGTTGCTATCCCGGAACGACCATATGTACAAGAGTCGAACTCAGAATTTATGTTGTCGTTGCAGTTTTAAAGAACGTTGTATGTGAGTATTGCTTTGTGGTCAGTGGTTGATAAGGGGAGGATGTTGACACACAATCGCGCTAAAGATCTTCGCGTAGTAATTCGCAAGGCCAATGCAATGTCGGAAGAAATAAATTTGTGTCAATGCAATGCGACCATACAGAAAAGGTTGCACGGTAATGACTAGGATATGCTTGTAGGGGAACTAATATCAATGAGTTGTTATGATTGTCAAACAGTATCAGGAATCAGTGAGAATGCTTTTTATACGGTGTGATGAATCCAGAAAACCAAAAGAAAATTGCCAAGTCAATTCGTGATTACTTTTAGTCGATTTTGCTTTGTTACCATAGGTACCGTATGGCATGTGGCATGTCCATTATCTACGATAGGCAAAGCGGATTGTCCGAACAAGATGATATACTTTCGAAATATCGAATAATGCTGGATGAGATACACCATTGTAGGAAAGATGTTGTCCTATTGACCAACTCTTTGAGAAAATAACCATATAAACATATTGTGAAGGGAAACTCCATGATAGATGCCCTTTCGAAAACTCCATAACCCCGCCGTGTCATCATTAAAAGAGGCGTAACGTAAATATGACCAGGTAAAGAATCACGACGAATGTGCGTCAAAGCAGTTCGGCCATTATGTGAGCTTCTCAGATGATTGAAAATCCATCATCAATTATCCTCCCAACTCTTCTCCACCGTTTCCCTAACACGCTTTGTGTATTCTCTTCTGTTGTCTTTGTATAAGTTGGAAGCTTCGACATTGGCGGGTGAGCCAGTGTTTGGGTCATTAAGGAGACTATGCAGAAATTAATACATAGATCTGGAAACTAATAGACCATTTGCGAAGCATATATGTACCTTTGAATACTTGTCAAAACAGCCGCAACATCATATGTAGGACTCCACCTGTTTTGTAAAATATCTAAACACAACTCTCCAGTCGCGTAAACATTAGGGTGAAACATTTGGCTGATGAACTTGACGGCAGGAGGCTTGTTTGGGTATTGTTCCTCGAAAGTCATAACGAGTCGAAAGGTTCCATCTTCAAAGGGAGTATCTGCAGGACCGATAATGACGGCATTCCTAATAGGTTCATTGTTGGCATCAAGTCCGTGAATATTAGATTGTTTTCAGGAGAGACTAACCAAAGCATTACATTGTCTGCAACAGGAGATGCGGAAACACCAGCGGGAGGATCAGTTTGCATGCGCTGTAGATGAAAGTTAGAGTTTCCCTCCAATTATCTGGGTACCCCTCCATTCCTGGATAATGATTGCCACTAACCTTGAAATCTCGCATAAGGCGACGACGAGCAGCTGTAGACATGATGGAGAACTGTGCGAATAATAACCAAGAGTCGGGATGTGGAGTTCTTGTTGGATCGAGTTGAGCGTGAATGAATGGGAATGTCTTATTATTATTCGAGTGATAAGCTTTGAGGTATGCCGAAAAGCAAGTTCTATCGGATAGATATTAGTGTCCGATGTGAAAGCCGGCGGCGGAAGTGTATGTGGGCTGCCGCAATGAGTTTATCGGAAAGTTTTGATTGGAGAAGAATGAAATGACCGGTTCTAGAAAAGTCAAGAAGATTTATCAATTCACTTGAACGGTTTGGACGTGATACAGAGATGTAGTGAGATCTCACGATTTGGGTTGATTTGGTTGATGTGATTCGAATTTCCATTCACAATGGCCCAGTACGGTACAGCCTATAGACCGCTTTCATTCAACCACCCATTTGGCCCCTTCGTGCAAGATTTGTCCACCAAAGCCGCCACGCAAACAAGGCTCGAGCAAGGATCATTGAGTCATGTTATCGTAGAGTCACGTGAAGATTGTGATCACAAGCTACTGCAGAATTGGTTTAGTGCCTGGCGAACAATCACCCACGTGTAGGTCCGAGCATTCTACTCTGGGGTAAATGGAATACATTCCGGCGGTGCTAACCGCGGGACAATCGATGCTGAAAGATTACATTTTCTTCCTTTCTTTCCCTATAGACTTTTGGGTTGTTCAACGCTCTCCTCTCTTGTGAATACTCAAACACAGTCATCATGTTTTCACATACTGCCAAATCTTCGATGAGAAATTTAAGGATGTCATCTCCATCATCACGGTTAGCACAAGTTCAACGGCAATTCAGTTCAAGTGCCTCGGCCAAAAAAGAGATTCAAGATGCATACATTTTGAGTGCCTCAAGGACACCTACTGCAAAGGTAACTCGATCTATTCCCATATATCATGTGAATTGGACGAAAACTAAACGGGATGATAGTTCAATGGATCATTTCTTACTGTAAATGCCCCTCAACTTGGCGCTGTAGCCATTAAATCTGCACTCGAGAAATCCAAAGTTCCGGTCGAAAAAATCACAGACGTATACATGGGAAACGTATTGCAGGGTGGTGTCGGACAAGCTCCAGCTCGACAAGCTGCTATTTTCGCTGGTCTTCCTTCGTCAGTTGAAGCGGTCACAATCAACAAGGTATGCGCATCTGGAATGAAAGCTGTTGTGTTAGCTGCACAAAACATTCAACTCGGTCTCGCAGAAGCGCAGATTGCAGGAGGAATGGAAAACATGTCTCGAGTACCATATTATTATCCTCGAGCTAACAGTCTTCCCCCCTTCGGAAATGTACAAGCCGAGGATGGGCTCATCAAAGACGGGCTATGGGATGTCTACAACCAATTTCACATGGGTGTATGCGCGGAGACCACGGCAAAGAAATATGAAATTACACGAGAACAACAAGACGAATACGCTATCCAATCATATAAACGAGCGCAAGAAGCATGGAAAGTCGGCGCATTCAAAGAGGAGATTGCCCCGGTAACTGTAAAAGGTCGAAAGGGCGACACTATTATCGATACAGATGAGGGTTACCTGGATGTAAAATTTGACAAAGTTTCCTCGTTAAAGCCAGCATTCGTTAGAGATGGAAGTGGAACAATTACTGCTGCCAATGCTTCGACATTCAATGACGGCGCTAGCGCATTGGTATTGGGAAACAAAGCCATTGCACAACAATATGGAACCGGGTCAAGAGTACTAGCAAGAATTTGTGGCTCTGCGGATGCTGCAATTGATCCAGTTGATTTCCCAGTAGCTCCCGCCAAAGCAGTGCCACTTGCTTTAGAACGAGCTGGAATCAGGAAGGAAGATGTAGCAATTTGGGAGTTCAACGAGGCATTCGCAGCCGTTATCAAGGCCAACGAAAAGGTTCGTCCCACTCGATCGGACTCATCAATGGAATACTGACACAATCTAGATCCTTGGACTTGAGAATGCGAAAGTTAATCTACTTGGTGGAGCAATCTCACTTGGCCACGCTCTCGGAAGTTCGGGTTCACGAATTCTTACAACATTATTGCATCAATTAAAAGTCGGAGAATATGGTGTTGCAGCGATTTGCAATGGTGGTGGTGCGGCGACGGCGATAGTTGTACAGAGAATTGATAGCGTACAATTATGATTTATGATGTATGATGTATGATGTTTGGAATAGTTCGAGGTCTGGGAGTAGGTACATAAGATCAAGAGAATCCATTGATTCATCACACATGCATGATAGCTAGCTTATTCATCTCATTGGCAATATTTCCATATCGAAATAACACGTGAAGCACAAACGACATGGAAACTAATAAAGGTCTAAAGCAGCCCCCAGTCCATTCCCGCGTACCTCTTTATGGAGAGGGGGCATTTTTCACATGTCAATGGAAGGAACCGAGATCCTGAAAACTCTAATACTGTAAGGTTATCCTATCCCACTTCGCTTGTGACATCATCGTCGCAATCAATGCAAATGTTTAGTTTCGACATTCAATTCCTTTCAGATACGCAATCCATTCATTGATTCTCCAATCGACAAATCTTCCACCCCGATAGAAAAAGATAAAAAATAAAAATAAAAAATAAAAAATAACTCGATAGACTACGCATGTGAAATCAGAGAGTTCGAGAATTCAACCAAGATGGATGATCCAAGTAAGTCCAAGATGCACACAATTGGGGAAATCTTATCCTCACGCTGGGAGAATCGCAATAACTCCTCGAATGCCCTATATTGCCCTCCTGTACCTTCTCTCCCTTCCTCGCGTTCGCTTTCCCACTCGGTGCTTTACTAATCATTGAATATAGAATCACAAATTGCACCTCTAATCCACACCCTCTGTTCCGGGGCTCCCTCCGCCCAACAACAAGCCCTCGAAGCGTACTTTACCCCCGACGCGTCGTTCTCGCATCCGCTGTGCTCGGTGCCTTCTTTTTCTTCTGTTGGACTACCTGTGGTTGGAGAGGTGAATAGTAGATGGGTATTAGGGTGCGTGTATAAATGGTATAAGGTGTTGAGTCCAAGGGTTGTGGTGGGCGTGGATGGAGTTGGTGAGTTTTCTCATATTCACTTATTGGCAGGGAGTTGAAAAGCAGGGAGCAGTAGCAATGAGTATATGGAGGAGGGCAAGGATAGGGAAACCGAGGAGATCGAACTTCGTGATGCAATGTGGAGCAATGCTAATCTTCATCAAACTCTAGAATATAACCCTGAAACGCAAACTCTTTTCCTCCAACTCCATCAGCAATTTCACCTCTTCTTCGTTCCATTCTTTTATCCAACAGTATACCTAACCACCATCCTTTATCTCGCTCGCGCCAAAGACTCTTCCGAGGATAAATACCTCGTAAAGCACCAAGAAGACCTCTATCAATCCGCAGAACTCGTGAAGTTTTTCTGGCCAGGAGGAACACAGATCATTAGCTTTTGGAGATGGATTGCAACTTTGTTTTGTATACTTGGGGCTATGGCATTTGCGCCGGTGACATGGATGGAGGAGTGGGGATGGTTTGGCAATGGGAAGGATGTGAAGAGGGGCGAGAAAGAAGACGGAGAGGAACGCGAGACAGGTGGTTGCGAGACTAATAGGGTGAATGATTCGAGGAGGGAGAAGAGAAGGAAAACGATTAATGGGTCGGGGAGGAAGAATTGATAGGGTGATTTGGTTAGGATTCAAAATTGTATCTTTCGGGAAGGATAGGATGGAGTTTAGGGACATGTTTGCTGGGACAAGGATCTATTATTAATTGCAAATAAAAACTGTTTTGTTGCGTATCTGAAAATTAACAATTTTGAGCTTGCTCACGTACGTTAGCAAAGGAGAAAGAAATTCAAAAAGTTCCTCTATCGACGTACGAGGGTAAGATTCCAGATATGCAACAAAAATGCTTTCAATACTGAAATGGGAATCTCGTTTCGAGGCCCACACGAAAGACACCATTGTTTCACACAAATTGCGAATGCGGTGTTGGATGGATGAATTATGAAGTATACGAGTATATTCGTACTCACATACACGCTCTGAAGAGGGTGTCCAATAGGGCCCGTTAATGTTACTACTCATGCACAGAGGATGGCGGGAAGCCAAAGTGATACATGCAGAGTTTTCACTTGTATTTACTATGTATATACATACTGGGTAGATATACGAAACTACTATACATTCTGGAGTTTTCCGTACTCTTTTGACATTCTGTTACTTTTCTTAATTTAATAATAACAGTAGGTTGGTTTTCACCGATAATCTATCTTCAAGACGTCCAGTGCTAAATGATGCACCTGCTTCTTCCCTCGATGGTGTGTTGAATATTCATAGATCTGTAGATTATTTGTTGGACGAATTGGGAGATACTCTGTTGGTTCCGTTCGGAAAACTTGGATCTTGAATATTAAACATTAAAATCCGAAATGTGAATTCGGAGGAGAAGTTGAGAAATTGATCTGCTAGACAGCAAATACTGCTTTGAAATGTGTGTTAAATAGGTCGTTATAAGGGAGACCTTTGAACTGAAGCACATGGTACGTTTCGAGCAGTATTGATGATTCGATATTGTTTTGTATGTTGAGAATATAGTCGCTAGGTATCGAATGGCTGGAAATGATACGAAGATGATGAAGGCAAGAATTCACACTTTAAGCTACTTGATAGTAAGAGTTGAGGCCCCGGCTTATCGTATACTACTCTTTTTCATAACAAAATCCTTATAAAAAATACTATTTTCTTATATAAATTGATTGTTTTTATGATTCTTTAATTATTTGAAGAATTAATTTAAAAAATTTACATATAAGAAATAATTATATAAAGAATCTTTAATTTAAATCATTTCTTAAAATTATAAAAATTAATAAAATTATAATTAGGTTTTTGAAATGGAATTTTTTAAAAATTTATAATATATAATACTTTTCCTATAATATAGTTTATTAGTACATATATTATATTAATATATATACTGCTCTTTTTATATATAAAATTATAATTATATACTTTCTTTATTTATAAATGGAATTTTTGAAAATTAAATATATGTTACGGGAGCTGCCTCTAGGGTTACGTAGAAGTGTTTAGAAATCTCTCGAGATGGTTTAGATTAAACTTCAAGTAGGAATTCAATAAGGTTGTAATTGGTTACAATTCTTGTAATTATAATAATGAAATTAATAATTATTCTTTTAAATATAAAGCTTTATATTATAATAAAATCCTATTTTTTTATATAAATCTTTGTTCTTTATTATCCTATTGCTTTCTATTATATTCTATTGAGCATTATTTAGTAAGACTTAATAAAACACCTTGGTCAGATGATATTTAATCAATCTAGTTATATAACAACCTTGATCGTAACACTATCCCCTTCTTATCCTAGCGCTTACCCCAAGCGTTCATAAAGTAAGCTTCCCCGTCTAGGAGTTCGCTTTCTCTAATGCTTTTGCTTTCTTATTATGCTAGCCATTTGTTCTGAAAAATCTGCTAACAGTTGAAAAAACATTTATTTTCGTTCCAAAGAAAAAGGAATCATTATGCTGTTTAGGTGTAGTCGTTGTGTTGATAAAAATCTGGAATGTAGGGTTCTTCCTAATAGTTCTCGTTGTGGTGAATGCACCAAAAGTGTAGGAAGTGGTGATTGTAATATTTATGTTCATTCTGCTGGTAATTGGGCTCGTGTGGAGCGTAAAGAAGCTTGTCTTGAAGTGGAGGAAGAAGCTGCTGCAAAACTGGAGCAAGAAGCCTTTGCTCGTCGAATGAGAATTCGTAGGCAACAAAAGATTCTTTGTGAAAAGGCGGGTAAGATGTTGCAATATGACTTGTATATTATCGAGGCCCTTGAGGAATTTGAAGCCGAGGAGTAACGATTAGAAAATGAATGTCTAGAAAAGGAGAAGGAATAAGCTTCTAGTTTCTCCGTTGTTGCTGGCGACGATTCTTTCGATTTTGGTTTTTCTTTGGACTCTTCAATCCTTGTTTCAATGGATTCTCCTTCTTTTTGGGTAGATCCGGGTATTGTTGATGGAATGTCTTTAACTTTTTAGGATAGTTGAGGTTCTCTTTTGGTTTCTATGAGTTTTCGATATATAGATAATCTAATTATTTGATTAAGTATTTGATTATACCTCTGATGTTTTTGTAGTTTAGTATTGTTTCGATATTATATATGATGTTTGGATTAATTAATTTAATTTCTGTAAATAATATGTTTGATGCTTTTAATGGTGCTGGTTCGAGCAAGGATATATGGAAGACTAGGTGGATATTTATTATGTCTGATAATTTCAATCGATAATTAATTGTTCCTATTACCTTATCAATCTTGAATAATCCTAGTTTCCTATGATCGAGTTTATTACTTAGTCTCTTAATTTCGATATTTCGTTATAACAAATAAACTTTATCCCCCTCTTTAAGCATAGATTCTATACTACATTTTGTATTGTAGTACACTACTATTCTAGAAAATATAAATCTTAAATCGAGAACAAGCTGCTCTTGTAAATCTTTTAATTATTCGACTTATATTATTGCTAATTCGACATTAACTTCCTATAATATCAATATTTGATATACTTTAGGATTAAACCTAAAATTAGCATATACTAATGTAATCTTTATAGTTTCCGTTTTCAATATGTTATATACAAATTATACTATAGATAATAACTCTACCCAATTGTCCTGTTAATAATTTATATAGCATCTAAGATATACTTCCATTATCTGATTGGTCCTCTCTATCTGACCATCGGTTTATAAGTGAAAAACTATTAATAGCTTTCTTTTAACACCCATTAGTACTAATAAGGTAATCCAGAATTTCGAGGTAAAGAGCTTGTCTCAATCCGAGATTATCTTATCTGATACTCTATATATACTTATTATAATCCTAAGGAATATATATACTAATTGCTCAATATTTCATATTTCCTTGAATAATATTATATATATAAATTTCATTAGTCTGTCTATTATATTAAATATCATATTATATTTAATTTCTATAATAAGATCCTTTGAAAATAGTAGTTTGACCATAAAGTTCCATATAATGGATTTCCATAATTGAAAAGGCATATTTAAGGTCTGAAGCTAACCATACAGAGCATATTGTAATAACTTGTTTCATATATAGATGTTACAATTTCCAACAACTTCTTCAACTATTATTCTTATTCATAGAAAGTAATTGATTTCTCATATTCTTATAAATGTCCTTACAATTCCTTAATGTCTGTATACCAGCAATTTATATTGTTCTGTTATAAATTCCTTGGTCATTTGACTTGGAATATATACTTTTCCATGAAAGTATATAATCTCGTTTTCTATTGTAAATCCTGATTTTATTGTTTTGTATATACATATAGCTGTAGCATTCTTATCATAATATAATTAGATTTTGATTCTGAAATGATTGTCTTCCAATAAATATGTTGCTACAAACTGTAATACATTGTAAACCAGTGATTCGCCTTCTTTCTTGAATATAGCGTACAATTCATACAACTTATTTTCTTAATATTCTGGTTTTCGGCTAAGAGTGTCAGCCCTAGCGTTTTTTAATCCTTTAATATATGAAATCTTAAAATTGTAATTGACTATAATTTCTAACTATCTGACCTATCGTCTATTTAACTACTTCATTATAATAAAATAAACCAAATTCTTATAATTTATATATACCTATACTATATATTTTGATCCTTCTAAATAAACTCATTATTCTTTAAATATATTAATTATCACTAATAATTCTTTATTATATATTTCATAATTCAATTCGACTGGTAATAGTTTTCAAGAATAAAATGTGATTAATTGCTATTTCTCATTTTGTCCTGGTTGGCTCAAAACTGCTCTTATAACAAAATCTGAGGAGTCCGTCTCCATAATGATTTACTTCTCAAGATCGAATATCAACAGTATTAACTCCTCGGCCATTGCCTGTTTAAGCGTTTCGAAGGATTTCTACACCTTGACGGTTTATTCAAAGCTTCTTTGATCTTTTCTAATTAATATAATCAAGGGTATAATAATTCTTAAATAACTTTTAATAAATCTTTAATAAAAGTTGATAAATCCTAAAAAGGATTATACTTCCTTGATTATAATCGGCTGTTTTTATTCAAGTATTGCCTTAATCTTGTCTTTACTTATCTTAAGCTTTTAGCTTGATACAATAAATCCCAAGAATTTTGTTTCTATAATATAGAATTTGTATTTATTTAGTTTATATAGTAAATCTATTTTGAATAGATTTTTAAGAATGTTGTTAACATTTTTAATAACGTAACGTATGGGGAACTCGGACATATGGGGAACTCGGACACTTTTAGCCCATCACCAACTTGAAACCGCAATAACTTTTATTATGCATACCCAATCACCTTCTACATCTGCTCAAATTGAAGAGAAGCTTCAAAAGGCTATAATTTCACTTCAATTGAAAGAATTTAAATCAATTAGAAAGGCTGCAGAGCATTTTGAAGTCCCTAAGTCTACCCTAGCTGATAGGCTGGCTGGGAAGAAAACACGTTCCCAAACCCACGAAATGGCTCAAATTCTTTCAAACGCAGAAGAAAATACTCTTGTACGATGGATTTCACGACTTACCATCACTGGATTCCCTGCTACACCTATGTTTGTGAAGGAAA